ACCAAAAACAAACATACAGTGACTTAAAATTCCCTAAAATACTATCCTTTCACAACTTCAACAGTTACCATCTCCTGTGTGCTAGGCTCCAAGGACATAACAGGAGAGAGTTAGGTCACTAAACAGGTAAGTTTTACAAACAAAATAATTACAAATGGAATTTTATATGCTGCATTTACCAAAAGAGAAAACACAAATAACCTGTTTGTCCATCTGTTCCAGCTATCAAACTAAAGAAGTGAGGAATACAGAAAAAGGATAATATAAATTATTTCAGGTCACAATTTCGTATCATTTAATCCTTCCCCAATTTATATACTTCATTTTTTCACTTGCAACATAAAAAACCAGAAGCCAATCCTTAATGAGAGGAAAAAAGCAAGGGAAGCCATGAAGCAAATTCAAGTTTCTCTGTTAATAAAAATAGGCATATGGAAACTAATTTGACAATAAATTTCATATAATAAATATATATATATAAATAATAACTAAATAAATAGGCAAGAACTAAAGCACTGTTCAAATACCCCAAGGCTAAAGGAAATCAGGTAGAGTGAAGTAATAAAGTAATTATAATAAATATCTGTTATTTTATGTTGCCACCACCCCAAAACTGTTATTGCTACAAACTAATATTTTCATTTCATTTCTTTTTTAATTTTTTTTAATATTTATTTTTGAGAGACAGCGCACAGGCACAAGCAGGGGAGGGGCAGAGAGAAAGAGAAAGAGAGAGAGAGAGAGAGAGAGAGAGAGAATCCAAAGCAGGCTCCAGGCTCTAAGCTATCATCACAGAGCCTGAGACGGGGCTCGAACTCACCAACTGCGAGATCATGACCTGAGCCGAAGTAGGATGTTCAACCGACTGAGGCACCAGGGCGCCCCACCATTTCTTGATTCAAAAGGAAGACAGAAGGGCAAGGACAGCTAGAGGAAAATTCGACAAGATGTCTGTAACACAAACTAAAAGCTTACTATGTGTCAGGCATTAGGGTCTCAAAAATTGAAAGATTACCTAATACATACAATTAAGGATGAATGAATTTCACTTACAAGATGACAACACAGAAACTTTATCCCAGTGATGGTCATTCAGTTGTGGTAGAAAACTTGAGAAACACGACAACCACTTACGTGAAAGTGTTCAACAGAGCACCTACTATGACAGCACGAGTGAATATATCCTAGCAATCCAAAATAAGTGCAAATGTGTTTTTTGTGTGGAGCGCTACTAAATGAGTGTGTTAGTATGAAACTTCCTTTAGTTTGTTTTAGTTTGGATGCTTGGCATTTACTGAGATCCCTTTTCCTATGTTTATGTTTGCTAATTTCCCCACTATCTGAACACTGGTGGAAACAGAGCCTGCCTCCTTTCCTAAAAGCCAAAAAGGCCTAATACTTACCTTCTCAAATTCCATTGCAGCTAGGATGCAGGCAGTGACCTAATCCCAGCCAATCCAAGACACCCACTGATTTTGAATCAGAAGCTAATACCACAAAGAAACATGGTTGAGAAAGCAACTTTCCAGCAATACCCAGTTTCCCAAGCAGCAGTGGCAGCAGCAGCAGGGCCCAGGATCAAGGTGCTGGTAATACATGCCGTAAAAACCAGTATTACCAGACAGCATCAAAAGTGACCCACTCCCCAGGTCTCAACCCCAGCTGCTTCTGAACTGTAATCCTGACCGTGCAACTTTCCTTGGTTCCTGCCCACTAGCAGAACTGGAGCTCCTCCAGACATCAAACCAATGCTAAGATCTCCCCAATGCTCTTGCATTTAATTCCTTTTTAATTCCTTTTTTGCTTAAAGCATAACTAACAAGTAATTTCTTGCCAATAAGAAACATGAGTGATAGCCAACAGGAATGAAATAGTATGGTGAATAAAGAAGCATCCCACCCACAAAGGACTGGGTCTGTGTAGTCTACTTTGGAAAAGAGACAATTCTGTGTGTCATATGACTCAAGTTCCGCTCTGATAATTCAGTTAATAATGTGTCACGTATTAATTCCAAAACGTTTCCGTCCCAACTACTAAATAATGTTGCCAGTCCGATTTCATCTGGAAGATGACCCACACCTTCTTCATCAAGCAAGTTCCCTACTGTGGACTAACTACCTTCAAACTCTAAATATACCCACAGATGATTCAGCAGGATGAAGAGCCCAAGTTTCTAATTTGCTTGAATAAGAATTAAAGATCTGTAACTTTCAGGGCGCCTGGGTGGCTCAGTTGGTTAAGATTCTGACTCCTGATTTCAGCTCAGGTCATGATCTCATGGTTCCTGAGATGGAGCCCCACGTCTGGCTCCATGCTGACAATGGGGAACCTGCTTGGGATTCTCTCTCTCTCCCTCTCTCGCTGCCCCTCCCCCGCTCAAAATAAATAAATGAGCTTTTTTCTTTTAATGTGTAACTTTCAATGTGGGGGACTTCAGCAAATAGTTAAGTCTCTTCTTTTTAATGTTTACTTATTTATGGGGGGGAGGGACACAAGTGGGGGAGGAGCAGAGGAACAGGCAGAGTGCGAACCCCAAGCAGGTTCCTGGCTACCAACACAGAGCCTGAGTGGGGCTCGAACTCACAAACTGTGACATCATGACCTGAGCTGAAATCCAGAGTAGGATGTTTAACCCACTGAGCCACCCAGGCACCTCAAAAGTTAAGTCTTCAAAGGAATTAACTGTTTTCAAAACTTTTATAAGTTCTGAAGTTTACAAAAACTTCAAAGTGCTCTCTCCTCAACAGATTTTTTGTTGTTGCTGTTGTGGTTACATCAGGAAGATACAGATACAACTGTTATTTAATCTTAAAATACGAAAGTTAAATAAATTCCTCAACTACAAATCAAATTAGGACTTGGTAAGATTTTATTTTTT